TAACAAATCAATTAAAGAGAGAAAGCCTTTACAGTTTAAAGATAAAGATTTATTTGTAATATTTCATTGTTTTATTGAAAATATACAGTAAGTGCTATATGATTTTATAACAGCAAAAACAAAATGAAACCTTTGAATTTTTTATGATAAAAAGATTAGATATGCACCCAATGATTACTATTAAAAATTATCTCTTTCACAAATTAAATTTTAAGTTTTAATATTAGATCCTTGTTTTCAACTCAACGCCTAAATTTACGCATTAATGAATGATTAATGTATATATTTAAAACGTAGCTGTGTTTTTTATCTACTTTTATATTATAATTAATATAAAAGAGGCAAATGATAAACGCGCGCATTAACCTTTTTTATCGAAGCTATGAAAGATTACAATGTGTTACAGGATCTTTAATGAATATATAGGAAAGTTCTAATTAATTTACCTAAAATTCCATGTAACCTTTCAATTTTTTAGATATTGATTACCAGAAAGGGGTAACTCACATATGTTGTTCCCGGGGTTCTTTCGAATGGCAATGTCAATATGATGGTCATATTAGAGCAAGGTCTTTGTCAAGGCGAATAAAAAAAATTTGCACCAATGCCAATTCAAAAATCGTCAAAGTGGAGATTACTAAACGCCTACCATAAATTTCTATTTCAATTACCTGGAATGTATCAATACCTAAAGTATAGATAGCTATTTATAGATAAATTTCTATCCAAAATTTCTATCCCGAAATCAAACGTTGTAAGTCTTTTCATATATTTAATAATATTCAAGGTAATAATATTTGTTAATATAATTTTATGTAGAATTTTTTGAAAGAGGTTGGGCGTCAAAGGAAAGGACGAATGAATGAAATTTTACCTTAAATACAATTAACCGGTTTAAAAATAAATACAATAAGTAGATCTAATCAAGCAGACTAAATTTTGAAATTTTGCGCACGAATAATTTTTTTTCCGACCATTGATTTATACAAATTAATATTATTATATACCAATATAAATAATTTTATACCTACACGATGCATATAATAATAATAATATTTTGGAAAAATATTCCTTGAATAATCGCATTTTTAGTTAACAAAACAAGTATCCTTTATAAGAAATTTATTGCTGTGGAATAATAACTAGGAAAATTAAATTATAATCCAAACGCCTGCAATCCATGCATACACTGACTTCTTGTTTCGCAAAAATTAAATTTTAAATATTCCATAAAAAAAATTTTTTTTTCCGATATTTCTTTCATGCAAAACAAAATTTTACCAATTACTTTTTGCATAATAATTAACGCGCAAATGCTCTCTATTACTCTATAATCGTAAAACAATAAGAGGAAATTATTCCATTTTTTAATAAATACTCTAGATTTTTTGGCCTTTTTTATCTCTGGCCATTTGTGTTGACGAAATTTGAAAACTTCTACCTTTGTTTGTTGAATTATCAGAAAAATTTATTTATTTATCATCTTCGCGATTAAATAATGTCGAATTCTTCAAGGCTGGATCTTGGTGTATGGTTGAGGCCAAGAATCTATCCACTGACGGAAGATAAGACATCAAGCACCTATTATTATCATTTATTGTCATATGATCGCAATAGCAACGAACCTTACCAAAGTGTATCGCGTCATCAATTCTTGCTCCATGTAGGGAGATTTTTCCTGGCTAACGAACCAAATAACTTCCGTCACGTTTCGAGAACTCTACTTAGCTCGGTAATTGGAGATCTGGTTAGAAGTGCTTCCGGGAGTGAATTATTAAAGGCCACCGTGTATTGTAGGTACTTTAATGCACTAATCAGAGAAGATAATCGTGCGAATCAAATTGATCGTAATCGACGTAACAGCGCGGCAGCTGATGCAGCTGCTCAAAATCGGAATCGAAACCGAAACCGAAATCGAAATCAAAATCAAAATCAAAATCAAAATCAAAATCAAAATCAAAATCCAAATCCAAATCCAAATCCAAATCCAAATCCAAATCCAAATCCAAATCCAAATCCAAATCCAAATCCAAATCGAATTCAAATTCAAAATCAAAATCAAAATCAAAATCGAAATCCAAATCCAAATCCAAATCAAAATCAGATTCAAATTCAAATTCAAATGCAAATTCAAATTCAAAATCCAAATCCAAATCCAAATCAAAATCAAAATCAAAATCAAGATCAAAATCAAAATCAGATTCAAAATCAAAATCAAAATCAAAATCAAAATCAAAATCAGATTCAAAATCAAGATCAAAATCAAATTCAGATTCAAAATCAAGATCAAGATCAAATTCAAATTCAAATTCAAATTCAAACTCCAAATCAAAATAATAGTGATTATTATGAGGAGGAGGGATTTGATATTAGTTTGTGGGATTAAATGAGTTACTATTATATAAGGTAGTAAGTAACCAGTTAAGGGCAAAAAATAAGCATAAAACATAAGATAGAGAGTTAAACATAAAAATAAATACAAATTAAGCATATATAAAATTAAGGTTGTTTTTTTAAAAAAAATAAAAATAAAAAAATTTTTTTTTTTAATTATTATGTTTATCAATGCGTGATTGTCATTCAGCTGCTATCCAAATTGTTGTGCAAGATATAGATTAGGAGCACAACCAGATTTTATGGCTCAAGTACCTTTGATTCAAGAAATCATTGAAGCTCATGGTCACAAGGTGATATTTTATCCAAAATATCACTGTGAATTAAATTACATAGAGATGTATTGGGGTGCAGCCAAGAGGTTTGCAAGAGAAAATTGTAACTATACCTGGGCAGGTTTGTTGAAAACTGTTCCTTTGGCTTTGGACTCTGTTTCCTTATATTCAATTCACAAATTTGAAAGGAAATCAGCTTGTTATATGGATTGTTATAGAAAAGGGTTGGATATGAAACAGGCTGGGTATGCTGTGAAAAGATATAAGTCTCACAGAAAAATACCAGATTCAATCTTGACAAAAATAAAATTTTAAAAATTTTTTTATTTTTGCCACACGTGATCTTCAGATCTACAAATGAAATTTGACCCCTCTATATAAAAGTGGATGTATTATTGTGACACACACTGTAAATAAAAAAAATTTTTTTTATGTGGGACAAAAAAGGGGTTAGTAATTTATTTTTGGAGTAAAAATCAGGGATTGTTTTGACAGAAAAATGGGGAGAAAATCAAAATCAGCTGATTCTCAAAACCCCCTTTTTTCCCGAGGTCCTTTTTGCTAACATGGAAACCAATTTGTTACACACAAATCTTGCCAATAGATTATTGGCCACCTTTAATGTAACACAATCCCGCACTCAATTTCCTAAATTAAGGTAATTTTTTCATTAAAAATCGTGTAACCTGTTTGATGAATTTCTGAAATAAATAAATAATGACAACGCTGTTTATTCCGCAATTAAAAGAATCAACATCATCAAAAACTACAATAGCAGAAACAGCAACAGACTCTTCTAAACTTTCACTTTCATATTTAAAAACATTAACAAATATTGAAGATATCCAAGAATGCTTAAGAATATTGGATTCTGAAGAAAATCAAGTTGATTTAAATTTAGATGAATTATTGGAAAAAAGGTTGCAATTAGAATCGGAATTAGATAATTTAGAAGTTTTAAGGTGACAAAAGTTAATTTGTTTTCATAGTGATTGATTTTGATATATATACACACACACATATAACTATAGCAAAATTTATTCAAAAGACCGCAATTAGGATTACTTAATTCTCAAGCTACTAATTTGATAAACATAATAAAAGAAACATCCAATGTAGCAGAAAGAATAAGTGCACAAGTTCGACAATTAGATTTAGAGCAATCAAGGGTACAAGAAGCAATAAATGAAGTTGAGATCGTACAAGAATTAAAACATTGTATAACAGGAATGCATCAATCAATGTATAGAAAAGATTATGAAACAGCAGCATCTTATGTCAATAAGGCTTTTTCAATAGACAAAAAAATATTAAATGGGAAATTTGCAGAAATGGCTGCGCCGTCATCAGAATATCCAGAAATACCAACTAAAACTTTAACAGATATTAGAGAGGCTTTATTTACTATCTTTTCAAGAGAATTTGATTTAGCCATACAATCAAAGGATGAAAAAAGTATTAGTAGGTTCTTTAGATTATTTCCTTTAATTGGTAAAGAAACTGAAGGTTTGGATAAATATTCAAAATTTGTTTGTGGAATCATTGCTGATAAAAGTCGAGCTAATCTTGCAGAAAGAGGTAATATTGATGATGATGATTATGATGATTATGATCATAGTGATAACAACAACAATAATTATTGTTGTTATTATGATTAAATAATAATCTTATTGTTATTAGTCACAGGACCAAACTTCTATGGGCATGCTCTAAATAAATTATTTGAAAATATTGCAATGATTATTGATCATCATCAACCTGTTGTAGAAAATCATTATGGATCTGGTAAAATGATAAGAGTTATTGAAAGACTTCAAGAAGAATGTGACAAACAAAGTATAATTATTATAAACAGTTTTAGTGATGAAAGAAATCTCGAAAGAAAGGTATCAATCAATAAATAAATAATGGTAATAATGAAAACAAATATTAAAATTAGTTCAATATTTTTTTTCTTATATTGATAATTTTTTTTAGGTAGTAGATGTTCGAACTTATAATAGTAGTGCATCTAAAAAATCTATTACTAATTCACAACATTCAGGCAAATCATCAAAAAACAATGAAACTAATCCTGACCCAAGAGAATTAGATTTAATATTATCAGAATTAGCAATGATTAGTGCAAGGTCATGTTTATATCTTAGGTTTATGGAATCTAGAGCACAGGTATTTAAAATAAATTATTGTTTTGTTATTGTTATTGTTTTATTATTTAATTTGAAATTAAATTTTACTTTTTTTTTTATTAGCTAGAAATTGAAGCAATGAAAAATATCGGAGTAGATGTTTCATTATTACAAAATAAGTATCAAATTGTCAATAACATTGTTTCTACAGATATAATAAAATCCAGCAGTCTGGCTAAACAATTGAAATCATTAATGAATGATTTTGTTATAATGGAAGAATATTTTTTTAGAAAAGCAATTGAAAAAGTAATAATTTTATTGCATGCACATGTATTTGAATGAAATGTTAACTCAAGTAACTAATTATTTAAATTTTTTGAAATTAGGCAATGTCTATTGATAATTACGAAGAAGTAAATAAAACATCAAGTTGTGTTGGAGATGTTTTCTATATATTAAAAGAATGTTTAAACAGAGCAATTTCAACATCTGATGTTGACTGTTTAACAACAATTGTTAATCAAATTATACAAAGTTTAGAAAATGATTATATTACTTTAATTCAAAGAAGGCTTTTTACTTCATTTGCTGCAACTGAATCAAAGGATGCAAAAATGGGATACATGGTTTGTAATTAATTAATTATCATCATCATCATTATAATTTAATTAAATATTTAATTAATTATTCCAAAAAAAAAGATTTTATTAAATAATTTAGATGTTAGTTGTGATTATATGCAAAGATTAACATCTGAATTAACTTCATTACCATCAATTGTTGAAGAAGATTATGAAAAAAT